AAATCAGATCACCTTTTTGCACTTTCTACTATGAGAGTGATCCTGGTCCCAAACCAATCAAAAAACTATGTAGGCCAAGTCCTGAACCAGACCCTATAGGAACATGAGAAGTTGAGAACTAAAGATAATGCTCCTAGTCACCTCCTAGTTATGCCTATACTTACTCTTAGCACCTTCATTTTTCTGAGGTCTATAAGAACAAGTACTCTAATGATAAACCCCCTGCTCAAGCAAATATGAAGAAAAAGATCTCTCAAAGTATTCTTTTGCATTATTTAATCTAAACACCTTAACAAGTATCAAGATAAGTAAGGATCATCTAATGAAAGAAAAAAAAAAACAATTATCACAGAAATGCATAAAATATATCAAAGAGAATAAAGAAAAGCATCACCAAATAACAAGAAATACTTATATCCCCTAATGGCAGGAGCAAAACAAGACCCGAAACATTAGTATGCACAATTTCAAAAGGGGAAATCCTTCTTTATTTACATGAAATAAAACTAGATCTACAATTCTTGGCCAGGTCACAATACTCAAATCTTAAATTGGATAGTTGAATGGAGACAAATAAAGCATGAAACAAGACTAGTAATGGCCCAAACAATCATAGAACAACATGATTTGACTTACAATATCCATGCAGTCGACTGATCCTCAAACATGAGAATCACCAAGGCAGGTTGGACCATTGCTCTAAACCTAACTTATCTTGTAGGAACTCAGAAAAATAATGAAAAAGAAAAAAAGTGGAATAAGAGAAAAGAGAAAAAAAAAAAAGAAAATAAGGAAAATAAAAAATTGGAAGGGGAGAAACAAGTTGTTTTGTTGCCCCTCTCTTATATTTATGAAAATAAAACTAGGTAAAATTACCATAGTACCCTGGCCACCCATACATAGTTGTCAAGGCAACGCCTAGGCGACAAGGTGCCGTTTGAGGCTCGCCTCGCCTAATCGCCAAACAATTTTGTACTATGTATTATAAAATAATTTTTTATTCTTTATTTTTTGACATTATAATTATAAAATAGGCACTATTAAACTAAAATATTCATTTCTTTTTATTATTTTCTAATTTGTTAGGGTTTAATCAATATAAACATTGCTAAATTCTGTATTGAACCCCCAAAGACTTTAAAACCTGAACCAATAAGGAAGAACTTAAAATATTGTCTAATCAACACATTTTCTACTACTACTACACATTTTCTTTTCTTCTTTTCCAATAACAAAAATAAGGGTTCAGCCCCTATATTTTTTTAAGTTTCTTTTCCTTCTTCTTTTTCTTCTCATGAATATGTTGATTTTCTATACTTTAACATGAACTCTCTACTTTTCTTATGAAAATTATGAATATTTCTTAAGAAAATATGGTTATGGTACCTAGGGAACTACCCTAGGATCTATGTTTTCTACATAAAAAAACCCATCACCTAGGCGGCGCTCACCTAGGCGGCGCTCACCTAGGCGACAAGGCGCCCCACTGTCGCCTAGCCTCGCCTTGGCGCCTTGAAAACTATGCACCCATATATTAAGAACAAAGTAGTAACCAACAGCAATATGTGAATAATAAATTAAGAATAACACATTAAAACTGTCTAAATGATTTCTCAACAGATAGCATGCAATAGAAGGCCTATTATTTTTCACCCTACCTCCCTTGCCTCTACCATCCGGCTATTTTTTCTGACCCCTATTTGTATTTGGAACCAAACTCATCAAGGTCTACACCTTCCCTGTTCAGTTCTTCAATCTTAGTCCACAACCACCCTTATACAATGAACTCCCAACTGGAAAATCCATCATGCTTAAGTTTGCCCTTGCCCCTTCCACTTCAAAACATCTAAAGGAACCCATGGCAGCATCCTCCTTTCCTAAGAAAAACAAGTCCATTAGTTTGGCCACTCGTACTTCATGAGCAACCACTAAATGTTCACACCATTCCTATATCCACAACCTCTTCACTATTCCTATATCCACAACCACTAAATGTTCACACCCATGGCAGCATCCTCTCAATCAACTTGAATGTTCACACAATTCCTATATCCACAACCTCTTCACTATTCTTCAATCTATCTCTTCTCTCCACCTCAAGATCCTCATTGTCTCCACCTCTGTCAGAGGAACATCCTATAGGTTCAATAAATAATCACTTCCTTGTTAATAAAGTCACCTAGGCAATCCTCTCCATTTTCCCTCAATCACCAGCTATCTATAGATATGAAGCACATTTCGACCTAAAAGACAACAATCCTTTGGGCTTCGACCCCCACTTTCCTCCCCTAGATCCACCAGCTGAGGCACAAACCAATGTGAAACGGGTTGGGTTGGATGGCTGCTTGAATACTGCATTTTGATTGCTTCCATCTTAACTACCCTCACTCAGAAATGCTTGTCAAGAAAATGAAACCCTCATTCTAGCCTTCCTCCTATATAGTGGTGTGGTTGCTTATTCGGTTTTGTTAACGGTCTTGGTGTCTGTTTGTTGGTCCATTGGTTGTGTTCCTCTTTCAGGTGATATATTAAAACCTTCCTGCTATCATTCTTTTTCCATTTTAATGAAACTTACTTTTTATCCTTCAAAAAAAATTGAAAATAGTTTGACAGGTTTATTTGGGTTTAGGAGAACCAAATGCAGTGATGAAATAAAAAATGGATTAAATTAATCATGGAGGGATCAACTTGGTTAAACTAGGTAATATTTGAGGATGGATTTGCTTTGATTGGGATCTTCCTTTCTTGGTGTTTGATTGGGTTCTTCATTCATTGCCATTCTGAGCCCAAGATGGTAGAGGAGCTGGTCTCAATTGGGCAGTGGTGCTCTTGGAATACTTTTGTAAGGAGGCTTCGTGAGGGAAGCTTCCTTTTCATCATCTTACTGGAATCAGAAATTGTGGAGGTCCTTAACAGGGATCATAGGAGTTTTAATAGGTGACACCATTTGGAGAGTTGGAGTTCTTCCATGGGATCTATTCCAATTCCTAAGGGTTTTGCAAGGTGGTAGGTTAGGATCTATGAGGTCTAGTTGAGTGCATGGTGCAGAAACACTTTCTCGGAAATGCTTTGGGAGGATTTATCAAGATGATGAGCAAAATCTAACTTAGAGAAATTTAGAATTTTGTGCTTGCTTATTTGAGTAAGGAAGAGGCCAATGCTTATTTTAATGGTAAAAACTTGGGCAACAAGTGTGAGAATGTGGGTTCAGAGTTTGAGAGCATCCACTTTGTGCAAAAAATGCCAAAGGTTAGGTGTGTATGTTGTCGGCCCCTCCAAAGACCTTAGAAAACTGAAACCAACATCGGATTATGGCCTTTCTTTCATTTGGGAAAGGATGATGTCAGGGACCCCAAAAAAATTTTGATGTGGTAGTGAATGAGGTTGTGTTTGTTCTCAAGGTTGTAGTTGAAGGAGTGGACGATGTGTGGAGATGGCTGCTTATTTAGAGAAACCATTTGAATCAAGTAAATATTAGTTGTGGTGCTTTTACCTTGAGCATTATCAGGCATGAGTTAAAAAGGGCTTCTTTGCTTCCTCCATTGACTCTAACCCAGACAGGACCTGATTCATCTGTCAAAAACCAGAAGGGTTCTAGATTAATGGGAGGGCATGTGGAAAATAAGTGGGTAGTTTTATTCTTTCAGACAGATTGGTTGTGCAATCACTATAAGTGAAGACAATTGAGCTTTTGAGGATAGGAGGTCCGAGAAAGATGAGGGGGGGCAAACCTAGGTGAGATTATTGGGTTTTTTAATGCTAGATATATGGACATGCTCAAGAGCTCTAATGGTAATTTTTGGATATAAGCATGATGATTTGGGTCATTTGGGGTATGGGTCCATGAGTGGGGTTGCTCATAAGATGTTAGAGTTTAGGAGGTTGGGTATTGTGGTGGTTCCTCTTGACATGGTTTAGGATTGGTGAGGATCTGCATGGGTCCATGAGTTCTTCAAGCCCAACTATTATCGGATAGGAATATATAGAAGTTGAGAGGGTGAAGGGGATTTTAAAGAAAGACCTTGTTGCAAACCAACAAAACTTGACAAGTAGACTCGAACAAAGAACAAAAAAGCCTTGAAATGCCTGGCACCAGGCTTAGTCTTCCTCCACGATCTCATCCTCCTGATCTGAAGAATCCTCGTTCCAAGCCTTTCCTCCTCTCCCCAGTGCTTTTTTATTCAGATTCTCTTCCCTTTTTTCTCTCGAACTCCTCAAAGGCCCTCCTAGCAAACTCCTCACTGCCCCGAAAAACAAACCCAAACTTTTACCAATTGTGACCTCCCTATCTACTAGCATCTAAAAAGTCATGCATCCCGAGACATTATCCTTTGTCTCATTACTTTGCACCTTGAGAATCGTTCCAGAGTCAGGACCAACACCACTCTCCTTGTTGTCTTTAATATACTTCCCCAGGTGGGAGTCTGAATGTTGATCCATCATTGTCGCCCCCCTATAATCGGCTCCAAGAGTCACAATACATGCAATATTTTGACCTAACTAATCTGTTAGGTGGAACCAATTCAATATTGATACCAATCCTGTCTCAAGCTGAAAGTCTGCTATCTTAGCTTTAGAATTTTGTAATATTACCAACTACATAAACTGTAAATCTTGAGAGCCACAACATTAATCACAACCAAAAAAAAAAAATAGAAAACCTCAAACAAGTTCAAGTTGTGGGCCTTTTAGGTGCCAATTAACAACTCCTGTCTTGATATCTTTGGAAAGTTGTGACAACAATGAATTTCAAGAAAACATAATAGGAATAAACAGAAACACAATAAACAAGATTTCCGTAGCAGGTGCACATCCCTACTAGCTGAGAATAAAGGAGTTTAAAGCTAAAGGCATATAAACATAAATAGGAGTTTAGAACATATGATCGAAGCAGTTCTCCAATAGATATCAAAATTACTGAATAAGAGAATGCCAATTTTATGAAGGCTACAGGATATGAGTAAACTTAAATAACTATGCACTTCAGATACTGCTCTCACCACATTAAGGGAAAACATGTTAGTTTCAACCTCTTTCCAAGGAATTGATATATCTGCAGATACCCATCCACCACACAAAAGCTGCAATGAAATAAAAATTAAAAAGAAAAATAAGAATATAAAATGTTTCAGAAACTTCCACATAAATTTGCAAATGTAATATGCATACTTATGAATTGATGGAGTTAAGAATACAATGTAAATATGCTTTAGTATTTTTTTTTTGGATAAATAACAAAGACTTTTATTAATAGATATTAATAAAGAAAGATACAAAAGGAGGGTAAAAACTCTTAACCCTCCCAAGAATACAGTTCAGATTACAATATTGCCCAGAAAAAAATTGACTCTTCCCACCCCTTGTTTGGCCAATGAATCTGCCAAGGAAGTGGCACACCTCTTAGTCCATTGAAACTTGACTTCCATGTTTTGAGTGAGATGTCTAACTTTCTTCTTCTCATTTAGAAACTTCCACAAACTAGAATCATCTTTCATTAGCCAGTTTATAGCCAACTTAGAATCACCTTCCACTATCAGTTTTCGGATATTTAACTCTTAAGCTCTTTTTAACCCTTCCAAAACAGCCAATATTTCAGCTCTAAGAGAGTCCCCCCATCCAATAGAACCAGAATACAATGCAATAATTCGACCTTCACCATACCTGAAAGCTCCCCCTATACCCGATGGGCCGGGATTCCTTCGCTACTGCCATCAAAGTTTAGTTTAGTGAACCCCGAAGCTGGAGGGCACCAAACTAGGTTAGGTGAAATCTTCCTTGGAGCTGACCAAGCCACTTCTTTCCACTTCCTGATGAACCACCTTTACAGAAATTAGTTCAATGATTACACTCTTATTTCTTTCTTTCCCATGAAAGGTCCGTTRATTCCTTTCCTCCTAGACTGTCCAACATACAGCTGCTCTTACACATCTCCACAGAAATTTCCCTCTCTTCTTCAGCCCCCTAACAGTAGTAGAATGGAATAGGCTTTGTACATTTGAAGGGGGGGTCCACCTGCAACCAAAAAGATAGAAAAACCAACACCAGATCTCTGAAACAAATGGACAGGAAACCAGTAAGTGATAACAATTCTCACCATTCTTCTTACAAAGGATGCACCAATGTAGGGATAAACACCAATTAAGCCTTTTTCTTTGAAGTAGGTCACAAGTGTTACACTTTTCAAGGAAAGCTTCCCAACAAAAAGCACTAATTCTGGGAGGAATTGTTCTACCCCAAACTTCCAAAACTGGTAAAAGGAGTCCAAAAACAGGTGAGGAATGAGCCAGTTCTTTGAAGAAAGAGGAACATGAGAAGACACCCGAAGGAGAAGGGACCCAAATCCTACTGTCCCTCCTAGAGGGGTCAATATCCACCTCATCTAGGATTTTTAGCAGGTCAGAAATAATGTTCAGTTCAGAGTCCGTAAGGGCCCTTGTAAAATACAAGTTCCAGTCAATAGTTGAATTAGAAGTGGTCAAAAAAGTGGTGATTGGCTCACTTTTAAAACGTGATAAAGAATACAAAGAAGGGAATAGCTCTTTCAACGGAGTGCTTCCCACCCAAACATGATCCCAAAATTTCACGAGGTTACCAGAGCACAGGTCATACCTGATTAAAGGAAGGAAAGAAGATAGTATGGCATGAATGGATTTCCAAGGGGAAGCTCTCGTAGCCCTAGCTAATACTCCCGAGTCCCAGCCATACGTCGCTTGCCCATGAATACTTAAGACAACTTGAGCCCATAATTTATCCCTCTCCAAAGTCAGTCTCCAAAGCCATTTCCCCAACAGAGCTTCATTCTTTTTCTACAAATTACCTAAAGCAAGCCCACCATCACTTTTGGTTTTGGTAACTATATCCCACCTGACTTTATGATCCCTTTTCTCCTCTCCTGGTTCCCATAAGAAATCTCTCATTAACTTCTCCAAAATCCCACATACTCCCTCAGGCATTTTAAACACCGACAAAAAGTAAACAGGCAAATTGGCCAATGTTGACCTAATCAAAGTTATCCTATCTCCCATAGATAGATAATTTTTCTTCCAAGATGCTAACCTTTTAGTGAATCTATCAATCACCAGGTTCCAGAAACTCTTCTTGCTTGGGTTATCCCCTAGTGGTAGCCCCAAATAGATCAATGGCCATTGAGCAATCTCACAACCCATTATTCGGGCTCTATCCTCCACCTCACTTTCACTCAAATTAATGCCAATCACACAGCTTTTATCAAAATTCACTTTAAGATCAGTCACCTGTTCAAACACATAGATCACTTGCTTTAAATTACTAACCCAACTTACCTTGTCCCCACCACAGAAAAAAATTGTCATCAGCAAACTGTAGATGTGTTACTGGAACCCTGTTCCTCCCTACCCTCCAGCCTTTCACCAAATTTCTAGAATCTGCCCTCTCAATGAGCTTTCCTAGGACTTCAGCAATTAGGGTAAAAAGGAAAGGAGAAAGGGAGTCTCCTTGCCTAATGCCCCTAGTAGTCAAGAAATGATCTACCACCCTACCGTTCACTAAAATGGAATAGTGGCAAGTCCTAATACATCCTTTCACCCACTTGCACCACTTTTGCCCAAATCCAAAAGACTCTAGGACTTCCAGTAGGGATGACCAATCCACCAGGTCATATGCCTTTTCAAGATCCAATTTGCACACTAACCCTTTCTTCCCACTTCTTTTAAAATCTTCCACTCTCATTTGCAATTAGGATTTGATCCACAATTTGTTTATTCTTCAGAAAGGCACCCTGATTTGGGGAAATTATTAAGGGTCGCACCTCTCTAATCCTCCGAGATAGCACCTTAGCAATGATTTTATAAAGGTTGTGTACCAAACTAATGGGTTTGAACTCTTTGGGGTGACAAGCATCTCCCTTTTTTGGAATTAGAACAATGTAGAGTTTAGACTTAGATTGATCACCCCTCTTTCAAAGAATTCAGAAAACACTCTTTGAATATCTTCCTTAAGTACCTCCCAGCAGTCTTGATAAAAGACATCGTAAAACCATCTGGACCAGGTGCTTTAAATCTATTCATAGAAAAAATGGGTACCCTTATTTCTTCCAATTCAAAGCTTCTCTCCAACCACAACCTCGATTCTTCCGGGAGTCTAGGCCACTCCAAACCCTCAATCTGTAATCTGCTAGACATAGGCCTTCTATAGATGGATTTAAAATGCTCCACAAAATCCCTTTCAATCTCATTCTGTTGGGTCAATGTTACATCATTAATCACTAGCTTGGAGATAAAGTGCTTCTTTCTCCTACCATTGCCTATAGCATGAAAGAATTTTGTGTTCCTATCTCCTTCCTTTACCCACTTGTGTTTGGACTTTTGCCTCCAGCTAATTTCTTCTTTAAAGAGAACATCCTCCAAATTTTTTCTCAGCTCCCACCTAAGCTCTTTGTCCCTTTCCCCAAACGATCCTAGTTCTTCTTTTGCATCTAACTCCTCAATCTGATTAATCAACTGTTGTTTTCTTTCCTCTAGCCTCCCAAATTGAAGAATATTCCATTCTTTGATTTTATTTTTCAACTCTTTTAGCTTCCATTGAAATTTCATACCCTCTCAGTTGGCCCTTGGATTACTTGCTCCCAACCATTCCTTCACTTTCTCCTTAAAGCCTGGATGGGACAGCCACATATTCTCAAATCTGAATGGGATAGGTCATCCATTCCTAGGCTCAAACTTATCAAAACTGGCCAATGATCAGAGGTGATTCTAGGCAGTGTCCTTGACATCAAATCTCCCCAATGTTCTTCCCAATCAGCAGTAAAAAGAAATCTGTCTAATTTTGAACAAAATGGTTCAGCTTGAAGATTGGACCATGTAATACAATTATGCGATAGATTCAGTTCTTTAAGTTCAAACATATTGATAAATTCATTGAATTTCCTCATACTTGTAGCATTTCTTTGTCACACATTATTACACTCCTCAGTGAATCTAATTACATTAAAATCCCCTCTTAAACACCAAGGACCTTCCCATAATCCGCTTATATCTCCAAGTTCTTCCCACAACTCATTCCTCTGCCTGTACCCATTGGGGCCATATACATTAGTTAAAACCCATTCAAAACTGATGATGCACAATCCGGCCGGTCTTAGCTGTCAACGATCTTGCCTCTGAGCTGGGTGGCAGGGGACTTGAAACGGAGGGAGTGAAGAAACTCCGGGGAGAACCCGGCGTAAGGGCTCCGAAGCTCAAGTTAGAGTCTTTCCAAAGGCAAGATAAGCCAGATAGCGCAAAAGTTAGCATACCTCGTTCTTGTGGGGTAGGAGCCTTTTATAACCACCTCGCGCACTCACTTCCAGGCTTCTGTCAGATCGGGCATGATTATTTCTGAGCTCCCGCCAGTT